GGAGCAGCAGCCAGGGGCAGCGCTCCGGCAGTGGGGGTGTGCACGGGGCTCCTCGGAGCTGTGTCTTCGGTAGGCCAGGCCCTGCCTCTAGTCCTGCTTCCCTTGAGGCTTGTTCCAGAATGTTCTCCGGCTTCTGCGCAGGCGCCATCAGACCCTAATTTATCGCTGTGTGGGCCTTAACTGGTCCGCTACAGTGTTTGAGACATTAACTCTTTCAGTCTCACAAGGGCTAAAACGAACTTGGAGTTCATTTTGGCCATTCACCTTTCCAAAGCTGATCAGTTAAAGCTTAACCATTCATAATACAAGATAACTGTAGTTAAAACATGACATAATTCTCAATATTACACTTTCTTACCTGTGTAATAATTTCTGTGATAAGTCAACTAGTCATTTTCATATGAATGAAGTGTCATTTTTGGCCAAGTCTATTAGTCAGTGTCTAACTTGCAGAGGGAGGATAGATGTTCTTCTTTTGCTTTTATTCCTTCCTTACTGTGCTGTTTGTTTCTTTACACATTCAGTCTTGGGTTTTTTCATGTTTCTCCTTAGTTACACTAACTGCTTTCCATTATCTTACATTATCTCATGAACCCCGTTGTTCACACTAACCTTTTTCATCCTGCTTCCTGTCCTAGACTGAGAAATTAAAATAGGTATTGAGGCATACCTTTTAAATGTCTAGAGTTTGGCAAACCAAGGTTCAGAAGTGAAACCTGATTTTGATTGTGCAATTGACTACATACAAGTTCAGGGTAATTACATGAGCACAGACTTAATGCCTCTGGTGTAAAGAGATGAGGCAGGACTCATCTCTTCAAAAGTTTAATAAATCGTCCATTTCAGTTAGCTGGATTTCTCCTCAAGCTCAAACTTTTGCAAATTAAAGAGTTGAATTATCCTTTATCAAATAAGGAGGACATTGACTATTCCTAATTTATAAAGCAAGATTTCTTCTAATTTTTGCTACAGACTACTAAGTACTCCATGCAAGCAGCCACTGCATTTTTATAACAGATAACTTTATGATGTTTCAGGGTAAACATTAGAGTTGATACAATGTCAAGTGGTATATACCTTACCAGTCTAAGGGATATCAAAGAACTGGAGCCCATTCAGTGTAAAGATAATGTCTTTGTAAAGGAAAGTGCCATTGGCCATGGTGGCTGCTTGTTTTTCCAGTTGCAATGTAATGTAGTGTCTAAAACTTAACAGACAGAAAATAGTGCAACCTGTATCTTTCCCTTTCAAAATATGTTTAACAGGTATTGTACCATTCAAGAGATGGTTTATGTGCCTGTAGCAAAACGTTCCCATTCAGTATTTAAGATTCTTTAACTGCATTATCTTGCTTTTCAATGCTAAATCCTGTGTTTCATCATGCTTCACTGTGTACTGTTAATATACCAAGACCTGGGTAGGGTTCTAGATATCTATGGCAGTGGTGTGAAGGTGGTTAACAGGAATTTTTAAATTTTATTTCCTTTTAACTTGCGAGTCAGCTTTTCTACTCATTAAACTCGTTCATAAAACAGGGTTTTTCAGGAGTTCAAACATCTGATGGGAGGATTCTGGATTTTTTGTGAATTTACTGAAACTGTTGTTGACAGCATATTTTTCTTTTTTTTTTTTAACTGTAAATATTTAAAATTATCAACTTTGAAATGTTTATACACAGTAACATGTGTCAGGTGAACCAGAGTTCATGTGGGTTCCACGTGCCCTTTTCTACTGGAGTATCCTGGTTTCGGCTGGGATAGAGTTAATTTTCTTCTTAGTAGCAGGCATAATGCTGTGTTTTGGATTTAGTAGGAGAAGAATGTTGATAACACACTGATGGTTTAGTTGTTGCTGAGTACTGCTTATGCTAGTCAAGGACTTTTGTTTCCCATGCTCTGCCAGGTGCACAAGAAACTGGGAGGGGGCACAGCCAGAACAGTGGATCCAAACTGGCCAAAGGGCTATTCCATACCATATGACGTCATGCTCAGTATAGAAACTGGGGGGAGTTGGCCGGGGAGCAGCGACTGCTGCTCGGGAACTGTCTGGGTATCGGTCAGTGGGTGGTGAGCAATTGCATTGTGCATCACTTGCTTTGTATATTGTTATTATCATTATTATACTGTCACTATTAGCATTACTATTTTATTTTATTTCAATTATTAAACTGTTCTTATCTCAACCCAGGAGTGTTTCTCACTCTTACTCCTCCGATTCTCTCCCCCATCCCATCGGGGCAGGGGGAGTGAGCGAGCAGCTGCGTAGTGCTTAGTTGCTGGCTGGGGCTAAACCACGACATGGAGTTCTAAAAAGGCTGCAATTCTAGTCGCAGATATTGGGAGTCCAACAGTGAAGTTAATGCTTCCTAAAAGCTTAAGCAGAGCTTGCCAAATCAGAGTCTGATTTTTGTGGTCTCCAAGGGATGCTAAATTTTCAATGCATGGAAAAATACCAGTTCCCCTTCTGAAACAGTCTCGTCTCCCATGTTCCCCTTGTCTCCCCTCCGGCTGCTGTCATTATTGTTGCTATGGTGAATAAATGAATGCTGCAGGATGTTGCTGGAAAAGTCAGTGCTGACGTCTTTTGCAAACAGCTAATAGGCCACCCCCGTATCTCTTTATGAGTGCGGGCTCACTGGTTAATTGTGAAAGCTAATTAAAAAATCTTAGTATAAAACACTTCATTTTGTGAACCTTTCTTTATAAGTCCTAGCTTATTCCATTGTCAGGATTGTAGCTATAAATAAAAGATAACATCCTATATGGCAGAGGAAAAAAAAGCAGAAACAGATCATGGTTGCACAGAGGCCCTGTATTGTTTGCTTCACAAAGTAATATTTTTCAGAAAACATTCTTCCTTGCACCAGCTGTTTTTTCTATTGAAGACAGGATTATGTAGCAGTACAGTAGAGCCTCTTCTGTTTCGAGTACATGCACAACATTTATCAAAGAACTGAATTTTGCTAGCGTTTAATCATTCCTCTTGCACTCATGTTTTCCATACAGAAGCTTGTGATCAAGTTATTCTCAAGATGGCAGTGCTATCTTCTGTTTAAGAGATATTTATGGTGGCTTAATATGTAATGAAATTAAGTTTTGCTGCATTAGAACCAGTGTGATTGGCCAATAAAGGGATGAACTTGAACAGTGCAAAAAACTGTCATAAAAGATAGCTGCTGAAATGAAACATAGGCATTATTTGCAAGGATTTTAAATTAGGTTTGCTCCAAATTGACAGAGAAGTATATGAATGGTGATGTAATGAATGATACAGTTCTGTCGTATTTCATCAGAACGTGTATAGTTGATGACACACTGGGGACTATGAAGAGCATACCGGGGAAATGAAAAGGAAGAGCAGTTTAAATAGTTGATGCAATTTTCTGTAGACTTAAAATCAAATTATTAGGAATTTCTGAGATATCTGGGGATTTTGTGCAAAGTGGTATTCTCTAGTATAAACTGAAAGAAACTTTTGATATTCACTGCAATGAAGCTATTAAATATTTTAGCGTGGGACTTACAAACATTTCATTGCAACTTTTTAATATTCCTTTAAACGAGTTAGATGAATTGCATAACAGCTATATTCAGCTAATTTTTTCCTAACTGCTGCATTTTTTCTCTGTGGTGTAGGGGAACAGCCAATGATGAAATGTGTAATTTTTACATTATGTACTATATGGAAGCCAAGCATGCTGTCTCGTATATGACCTGCACACAGAATGCAAGCCCTGAAATATTCAGAAATATACCACAAGAGGCAAATATTCCTGTTCCTGTTAAGTCTGATATGGTAAAGATGACGCATGGACATCATGAAGGTGAAAAAAAAATTGTAATCCATTTTATTCGTCTTTTTATGCTCACTGATGCATTTGTCTGTGTTGCTTTGATATGCTAAATTTTCATAAAAAGGAAATGCAATTCTGAATAAAGTTCAAATAGCCAATTATAGATCATCATGGGATTCTGCTCTTGCTTTTGGTGGAAGTGTCTGCCATAGTCTTTTGTCCATTTCTTCCTATTGTCATCTTTAAATTTTGAACATATTTTTATAGCTGCATGAGCTGTGTACCCAAAAGATTGACCTATTTTCTATGACAAATATCAGTACTTTATATTAACAGTTTCTTAATATTTGCTTTATCATCTACCTATTCCCTACAAAGTTGAATCATAACATTTCTGTAGTTTTCTGGATCCCACTGCCTCGTTATGGGAGGAATCAAATGTTTATATTGAGCACTAGTAGGCATAGAAGTTGCACTAGCAGTATTATCCATAATTAATCTGACTGGTATGACTGTGTAGCAAAGTACAAACTGTAATTTTTTATTCCAGTTGTTTTACTGCTGCACTGTTTGGTACAACTACTATAGATAGATAAAAATACCAAATGTTCATTTCAGAAGGGTTTTTTTTCCCCAGTAGGAAGATACTCAGTTCAATTCACACACAGATGTTAACATCATATCCTAAATCCATTTTTCAGAAACCAAGGATGCTGATAAAAGTTCTTTGCTGCAGCAGGCCAAAAAAGAAGAGGAAGAGATTTTGGATCAGGGTATGTACTTATTTGTTCCTATGTCAAATAAGGGACTGACTAATGTAAAATACTGATAAATTATATCCTGATTGTTAACGAGTTATGTAGTTTTTAATCTGTTTATCTTTAATTGATGCAATTTGCAGTGTTCTGTACAGCTAATATGACTGAATGCTCTATAAGAAATAAAAAAAAAATAGTCTAACACTGATCTCTAGCCCTTGTAGGTAAAATTTATTAGTGCATTTTAATCTCATTAGATATTCCTGTTCTTGGTTTAATTTGCTGAAGAAGGTTGTAATTTATGCGTAAGTGGAATCCTAAAGAATGGACACAAAGAGGTAGTCCTATAGCATGTAACTGTTCTATATTGTATATGTAACACTGTGCTATTAGCTCTTTGCCTATTTCTCAGTTTGTATTACTATGTATGAGGGAATAATATGTTCTTATGCTTCAATATTGGTTGTACATACAGCGGGTTGAGTGCAGCTAATGTTTAATAATGAATTACTTTTCATTACATTTGTGTATGTGTGCATATACGCCTAACAACTCATGCAAAAATGTGTGCAGTACTTAGTTGCAGGAAAAAATCCATGGCTGTTATAAAGCTTCTAGAAATATGTTGAATGTTATTTATGTTTTAGAGATACATTAAAATAAGACTGTATTTTAAAGTTCTTGTGGATCGTATGCTATTAGATAAATACTGGTTTAGTATCAACATTTTTGTTGATATTGAGGAGGAGACCTCATCAGCTAGTTTCCTACGGTTTTCATTGAACAACATTGAGGTTCAAGGACTAAATAAATTAAAGACAAATTTCCTTTTGCCTTTTATGAGAGCAAAGTTATGCTGGTGTTTAGAATTTTTTATAACATCTCCCAAAGGGGGTAGATTTTCTATATACTCTACCATTTTGCAGACTTAACTCAAATAATTAAGTTACAGTTACATAAAGACTAGCTTCTAGAGTGTAAGAGCGTCTTGACTGAAAGTACCTTAGGCTACTAAAGACAATATTTACAGTTCCATATCTGAAACTTATCTTAGTCAATTCAAGATGGATTTTTTAGAAAGAAATACAATTCTGATTTTTTAAGCCTATTCCAGAGCAGAATGAGCTAGCTGCTTACAAATTTGTATCAAGATTTATGCTGACAAGCTTCTTTATCCTGTTACTAATAAGCACATTAGGATTTGGTTGAGAATCTTGTTATCTGTGTATATTATTAAATTTGTTAATGTTTGAAACAAAACGTTGAAACAAGGTCCTGTTTCTAAAATCTTTTTCATTTGTCTTTGAAATGTGTTTCAAAGCCACATTTCTGCAATGCAGTCTCATTTGCTGAGACCACTATTTAGTATACATCCTCATCTAACGTGTTTCTATGGAAACACACTGCATTGTTTTGTCCATTTAAAATTAGTTGGGTTCATGATGTGAAATATCAAAACACAGTAGCTGCCAAGAGAGAATTTTGTTTCATGTTCTTAGTTGTTATTTTATGATAAATTCTCCCATCATTTACAGGAGCCTAGCTTCAATTTTGCATTGATACCACTCTAATTTCAGTTGAATTATGTATGTGTAAACAAAAAAGGCAAAAGGAAAAGTCAGATCAGGTTTGGTTTTCTTTTTGTCTCCGAAGAGGGGAAGTTGGGTGGCTGTTTTAGAAAGCAATTTTTGGTCCTACAAGCACATGAACACCTGGTAAGATACGCTGGGAAAACCAGGAGCTGAAAGTGGTCTGCTAAAATGCGCTGATAAAAATTACATAAAAGCTGGAGTCTGGTTTTGTGGGCCAAAGCGGTTTTGTGTAATTGTGTCGCCAATTTGTCGATCTCCTCAAGTAACTTTAGTGAGTTAGCCAATATCAACCAAAGTTGAACAAGGTCTTAAGGACAGGAAAATTCTACAGTTTGGAGAGAGAGGGCAGTAGACCCCTAAGCTGCACAGAAGCAAATACATAGTTTCGCTGAGGTAAAGGTTGTAACATAAATTTTTCCCTTTATGGTCTGGCATGACATACTCTATATGATAAGCTTATCTACAAAACACAGATCCACCAAATCTCAGGCTTTGATTAGTTCTGTTGCTGCTGAGTAAATTCAGCCTTCGATTTGCTCTAAAGATAGTACTTCAATGATTTTTCCATAATTCTGTGTTTTATCTTGCATGTTTTTTTCTCAGTGACTCACTACATTGTAGCAACTTTATTTTACCCTCCTTAGTTTCAGGTAACTGAAGTAAACACTGTTACTTCACTAAAACTGAAATAGTGGTTAAATTGTTATATTGCCCTGGAGATACTTACAAATCTGGGTGGTAGAGGCACGGTCAAAGGGACGAATTTTGATGTGACTAGTATTAAATTTAAGCATTTGCCTCAAAAGAGGAAAACAAAAAAGCCTGCCATGTGAAAGTATCTGCCTGCTAATAATGTGTATGTCATATGATTTCCTGGGCATAGGTTTAGAAGATGTACTTCCTGCTACATGCAGGCAGTTCATTATATCGGCACCTCCAGGACTTATCATTGCTTTTACATTAAATTTTCAATTTCATCACCTTCACTCGTCAGAAGCACATTCATAAACAATGTAAATATATTGAAATAAGTAGTAACCATCACAAAGTGAACCACCATTCAGCATGAAGACAAAGCTAAATCCCTGTAGTGTTAAAATTAAACTGAACTTACCTTAATGAAACTGACCTCATTATATTGCTTCTGAAACAGCAGTGTCACTGTTTGGTGAAGATAAACTGTTCATAGGAAGTTAATTATTGTAGGAAATGCAATTGATTTAGACACTTGTGCATATTAGAGAGTTTTCTGTTCCTGCTAAAGCACGAAGTCCCTAGCAAAACAAATACTATTTATGTTTATTTTTTGTTCATCAATAGAAGCATGATTAAATTGCGTTCAATAGATACAGTACTGAAAAAAAGCTATTTTCTGTTTGTAGCATTCACCATGTCTGCAAGATATCTCTTCTTTCCCTGTGGAAAAAAGACCTAAATGTGTTTCATTTTGTTTGTTCAACACTTTGCTGGCTATAGACTTTGGCATAATATAATACAGTTCAGGTTTGTTTTGGTATTCAAGCAGTGAAGCAGCCTTTACTATTGAGAAAGTCAGCTGCTGCTCTATTTGAAAGCTCTATAGGCACAATAGCAGGAGTGTTTTCTTAATAACAAGGAAGGAATATATAGGTGATGGTTAATCAGATGTGCAATATTTAATTTGTTGACCTGTGACTCAGGATCTGATACCTCATTTTGTGTGCATTAGGTGTGATCATAAACTTTCTTTTGAAGCAGAAGGGGCAATTTTTTTTCCTAGTGAAGCCAATAATTACATTTAAATGGTTAAAAAAAAAAAATCAAGGCTGGCTGAACTGAAAATTCACTTGCAGCATATAAAGCAAAAATTAGGTTTGATTTTTTGTTTTAGAAGGACATGTGTGTACATATGTATACGTTACACATACATGGGAGGGAAAAAAGAGAGGGGATTTTCATTTTATTTCTGGCATTAATGCTTACTCTGACACTTTAAAAAGTACATTTTTGCTTGTGTCTGGCTTAGGGAATTTAGAAGTTAATAGTGAAAAAGTAATTCGTATATTTTTGCCTCTGATGATGGAATCTGAAATGACAGTCAAAAGTTGCAATCCTTTTGCTCTCAGTATTGGTCAGTTGTACTGCTAATATTTTTTTTCCCCTCATCCCCCATTATTTCATGATTACCATGAGCGCAAGTTATTCAAATGGTGAAGTTCAAGCACAAGTAGCTCAAATGATGAAGTTCAATACAAGTGAGCTTAAGATCTCTCTTTTTGAATGTCCTAGCTAGGCTTATGTGGGGTCCCTTTTTCACAGCTGAGTGTTTTAACTGAAATCCCATTAAACCTCCTACATGCAAAATAATATTACAGCTTGAGTCCAGCATTCAGAAGTTAGCTTTTATAAAATGCTGCTTTAAGTTGGCAGTCATAGAATTGCTGTCCTGGTGGTGAGATAAGTTGCATAGAAAAACACCTCACTGGACTTCTACCTCGTTTTAGAGACTAGAATGTGTAGAGTGAGTGAAGTAGAGAACAAAGTAAAGAAAAGAATATGACTTCATGGTCTAAGGCAATTTGATGCTCTCTGATGGAAGTGTGTTTTACTCTAGACTGTTACCAGATTTGCTGAATAGCTCTAGGTAGCTAGGTACCTTTGTGAAGTTGATTTCCTGATCTGTTTTCCTAGTCTTTGAGGATGGACAAAACAAAAAACTGAAGCTAAGTCTTGGCTATACACAGCCCCTACTGAAACTGACTGGAGATGTGACTTGTACATAAGATGTGAAATATGATGCCAGCTGAGATGTTTCTAGGTGGACACCCAAAATGAATGGATGCTAAATGACAGTTCTGGCTGTAATCTTTAGCAAAGTATTAGTAATTATGGACCTTAATTTCATAGGACAGGCTGTGATAATGAAGTAATTTAGTGTTTGTGTTTCATAAACAGAGATGATGGAATAGAAATGTTAAGAGAAGTCTTTCTGTTCAGGTAAAACACTTCAGGGGTGCTTGGAGGGGGATTCTTTGAATGAGGTTAAATACAAATACATAGTGATGGCTCATTGATTGTATGAGGAGGTTTCTTTGTAAGAAAAATTAACACCATAATCCATACAAAATGGGGGCTGAATTAAGGTTACACATAATTCTGCTATGTATTACCTTTTGGATAACTAACCCATCTTTTAATTATTTTCAGTTGTTGTATGCTATATTTGCACATGAGTGCGCGCGCGCACACACACACACACAGAGTACTATTGGACAACATTTTTGTTACACTGCTGGAAATATTTTGCTAGGTTATAGCTGAATCTGTGAGTTGAGAAACTGAAATGTTTGTTCCGTGTTGCATATTTTGTTGTTTACTTGTGCATTGCTGTTAAAAGCAATAAATTATCAGTAGAAGAATTATCATCCAGTCTCGAAACTGGTA